CATGGCATCTACTCAGATGAGCTATTTTTACTGGTGCCCTGACAGCATGAATTTAAGCATGCTACTAGGTTGGCATCTCGGTTCCACCCTTTTACTGTCAAAATAGTTAAATGTAACCACTTCTTCTACTCCAACAGCTTCTTCTCTTACACTTTTCAACAGTGGATCTCCTTTCCTCTTAATTGCTTTCCTGATAACTATAATCTTCAAAAATTTAAATGTAATGTCAATTGACATCTTCTGTTGCCTTGATCCTTGTTCTTCTTTTCCTCAACATCCTCCCCCATACCTAGTCTTTTGCCTTAATTACATTCTCAGTAGTCCCTTGCATACTACTGGTACTCCCACCTTGCTTGGGGTGAATTGCTTAAAAAATAAACATTTTTTTCCTCACATCTAAAATTCTAGTGCCAAATCAGCTGGCACCTAAATGGCTGTGCGAAAACATACCAAACCATACAGAAGTTTATATATCTGGGAATGTATTTTAACAGAGGATGGAAAATACAACAGTGAACTCTGAATGTGCATTGGAATAGCAAAAGTTGCCTTTCAAAAGCTAAGCAAAGTATTAAGAAATAGGAAAATCTCATTAGAAACAAAGAAAAGTGTGCTGAACTGTTATGTAATATCAATCCTCTTGTATGGCAGTGAATGCTGGAGATCTCACAGATGAAGAGAAAACTGGAGGCAGTACAAATGGGGTTCTACAGAAGGATTCTAAGAATACTGTGGATGGAGCATGTAAGCAACAAAAAAAAATGGAAAACAAAAAGGTGGGCACTTATTCTCAGAATCAGAAAGAGAGGGCTGAAATTTCTTGGAAACATCATGAGAAGAGAAGCCTTGGAGAATTTGACACTCAGAGGACATATTGAAGGCAAAAGAGACAGGAACAGGCAGTGGAACACCAAACTGATAATCTTGTGTGAATTGGTGATGGAACAGGTGTTAGGTGGTTTGACAAAGGGTCAAACATTGCTCAGCATTGCAAGTGATAGGAGGGTGTGGAGAGCCATGATCGCCCATGTTCTGTAATGACATGGAACATAGAAGTACGAGGTTTGCCAAACAAATCTTTCTTAGCAATAGTAATTACTATTTTGCTAGCAATCCACATATTTGACTTCTTTTCTCAATCAATGTTGAAGCCTATCCATAAATATATTAAATTATTTTTTATCTATAAATTTAAGTTTAAATGTGAGACAGATTACATAGGAAGGATCACCAAATTGTTCAAGAGAATCTCTCAGCATGTGCTTGTCTGTATTCATAAAGGTCAATTTCAAAATTTACATAAATTTGCTATTACAAGATATTCTGGAATTGCAGATCTGGATGTACCAGAATATCTTCTAATTTTGTGTTTCGTTGATTACATTCAGACATGCATTTGAATCTATTTATCAAATCTGTGCAGCCTTCTTTGTATAAATGAAAAGAATGGTTGTTGGGTCTCAATGTGATCTGTTTATAATATAAATATACACACAGTGAGGGACTAGGTCAGGAGACAAATGAGACCCACCCACAACTACAATGCTATCATTTAATTTTTATAATCAATAAGTAATATTTTTTTTAAATACATATAGAAAGAAGTAATTGCTTTCAGGTTTACTGCACAATTTTCACATTAACAGAGAGTTCAAAATCACAATAGATCATTGCATGCAGTCAGTCCACTATATTAAGAGCAACCATTTGTGTTCACTTGATGATTGTTTGAATCTGCCAATAATTGCTTCTGTATCCAATTCATTTAACAATTGCTTTTCAGTGGATGGCAACATGTATGATTCCAATAGCAATTTCATAACCTTGTCTTTATGATCTTTAGCTTTGAAAATGTCCACTCACATTGGACTTGAGTGACTGATAATGTGCAGACATTTTAAATATTTTTGTTACTAAAACAGTTGCTTGGGTTTGTTTCATTATTACATTTTTATTTGATATTGGGAGCCCACATCATCAGGGGTCCACTTACCATCTGGCAAGCTAGTCTGCCACTGTATCCATATATATATATTATTAATATGTGTAATTCTTATCCTTGCTGGGGAAATGGTGTACAAGCTAAAGAGAAAGGATAGATTGACTTTTTATGGCTTATCAACCTTTTGTGGGTTATTTAAAGCTGAAACATATTTTGATTTGTGAGAGTAATTATTTTTTGGAGTGGAAATATTGCATTAAAATTTTTTTTAGAATAATGATTTTTCCTGGTACAAGTTATACTATTTAACCCATAGCTGGGGGAGGAGATGGATTCATACTTTTCCCTAGTGCATTTACATGTAAGTGAATGTAACAGAATCAATTGGAATTTGAACTCAGCTCTCTGATTTCTCATTCTAAGTGACTATTCATTGCACCACCTGCACATCCTGAAGTGAAAAGAGTGAGAAATGATTTTTTTTCTATTTATTTTCTTTTTCCTCACTTTTTTAATGCTTTAAATTATCATTTACCATGATTATATCTTATTTTCTGTTCATTTTCTTCTCATTTTAATAATTCTGTTTGTTTCTATAGCATTTACTTCAAGAATTGTGATTCACCAGGAATTTCAAATAGGAAAAAATGTTAAATTTTCACTCATACTGCTAGTTCAACAATTTTCTCTTTTGAGACGTTCACTTTTCTTCTTTCTTTTCTTGTCATTTTTTTTTGTTTCTTTTGGTTTAAATGAAGAATATTGAAGTCTCCATTGTACAACTATTTATTTCCTCCTTAAAGTTCTAACATTTCACCATTTCTGTAGAGATCAGCTTCACAGTTTACACAAAGCAAACAACAAAAGTAGTCAATCTTTTTTTTTTTTCAACTTGAGTGACCACAACTTGATAATCAAGAAATTTATGAGTTTCAGGTAAAATGTAATTTTTTTTTTCAGAACATATTTAACTTGCCAGAGAGTTTTGTATAATCAATAAGCTAGAAACACTCTTTGAATATAAGTTGCCTTTTGGCTTCTGTTGTCCTATCACCTGACATATATCAGTCCTGCCTGTCCTGGAGCATCAAGGAGGAGATCGATAGAGAGATAGGAAAACCTTGGGAAAGAGAGAAAATGAGGAGATATTAAGTAAACTTATACAAATGAACAGATTGAAATAAAGAGAAAATTATGAGGAAGAGGCTGATGTAATAAAGATGGGAAGAGACTGAGTTAAGGGGTGTGGAAATAGACAGAAGTTGAGAGTCAGAGAAAAGACTTTAGAGGGTCAGGGAACAGGCTGAGGTTGAGAAAAGTTGGAGGTACGGAGGCAGGAAAAGAGCATTTTAAACAGGAATAATAACAGGTAAAGAAGCAGAATCAGAGAGAGAGAGAGAAAGAGAGAGAGTGAGAGAGAATAGATGAAAATGCAGGATCAGAGAGAGATAGAAAGAGAGAGGAGCAGGTTCAGAGAGAGAGAGAAATGGTGAAAATGCAGGATCAGAGAGAGATAGAAAGAGAGAGAAGCAGGGTCAGAGAGAGAGAGAGGGAGAGAGAGAGAGAAAAGGTGAAAATGCAGGATCAGAGAGAGATAGAAAGATAGAGGAACAGGGTCAGAGAGAGAGAGAAGGTGAAAATGCAGGATCAGAGAGAGATAGAAAGAGAGAGAAGCAGGGTCAGAGAGAGAGAGAAGGTGAAAATGCAGGATCAGAGAGAGATAGAAAGAGAGAGGAGCAGGGTCCGAGAGAGTAAAGGTGAAAATGTAGGATCAGAGAGAGATAGAAAGAGAGAGGAACAGGGTCAGAGAGAGAGAAGGTGATAATGCAGGATCAGGGAGAGATAGGAAGAGAGAGGAGCCGGGTCAGAGAGAGAGAGAGAGAGAGAGAGAAAAGGTGAAAATACAGGATCAGAGAGAGATAGAAAGAGAGAGGAGCAGGGTCAGAGAGAGAGAGAGAAGGTGAAAATGCAGGATCAGAGAGAGATAGAAAGAGTGAGGAGCAGGGTCAGAGAGAGAGAGAGAGAGTAAAGGTGAAAATGCAGGATCAGAGTGAGATAGAAAGTGAGAGGAGCAGAGAGAGAGAGAGAGAAGGTGAAAACGCAGGATCAGAGAGAGATAGAAAGAGAGAGGAGCAGGGTCAGAGAGAGAGAGAGAGAAGATGAAAATGTATGATCAGAGAGAGATAGAAAGAGAGGAGACCAGGGTCAGAGAGAGAGAGAGAGAGAAAAGGTGAAAATGCAGGATCAGAGAGAGATAGAAAGAGAGAAGAGCAGAGTCAGAGAGAGAGAGAGAAGGTGAAAATGCAGGATCAGGGAGAGATAGAAAGATAGAGGAACAGGGTCAGAGAGAGAGAGAAGGTGAAAATGCAGGATCAGAGTGAGATAGAAAGAGAGAGGAGCAGGGGCAGAGAGAGAGAGAAGGTGAAAATGCAGGATCAGAGAGAGATAGAAAGAGAGAGGAGCATGGTCAGAGAGAGAGAGAAAGAGAAAGGGGGAAAATGCAGGATCAGAGTGAGATAGAAAGAGAGAAGCAGAGAGAGAGAAAGAGAGAAGGTGAAAACGCAGGATCAGAGAGAGATAGAAAGAGAGAGGAGCAGGGTGAGAGAGAGAGAGAGAGAGCGTAAAGGTGAAAATGCAGGATCAGAGAGAGATAGAAAGAGAGAGGAGCAGGGTCAGAGAAAGTAAAGGTGAAAATGTAGGATCAGAGAGAGATAGAGAGAGAGAGGAACAGGGTCAGAGAGAGAGAAGGTGATAATGCAGGATCAGAGAGAGATAGAAAGAGAGAGGAGCCGGGTCAGAGAAAGAGAGAGAAGGTGAAAATGCAGGATCAGAGAGAGATAGAAAGAGTGAGGAGCAGGGTCAGAGAGAGAGAGTAAAGGTGAAAATGCAGGATCAGAGTGAGATAGAAAGAGAGAGGAGCAGAGAGAGAGAGAGAGAAGGTGAAAACGCAGGATCAGAGAGAGATAGAAAGAGAGAGGAGCAGGGTCAGAGAGAGAGAGAGAAAGAGAGAGAGAGAGAGAAAGAGAGAGAGAGAGAGAGAAATGGTGAAAATGCAGAATCAGAGAGAGATAGAACGAGAGAGGAGCTGGGTCAGAGAGAGAGAGAAAATGTGAAAATGCAGGATCAGAGAGAGATAGAAAGCGAGAGGAGCAGGGTCAGGGAGAGAGAGAGAGAGTGAGAAAAGATGAAAATGCAGGATCAGAGGGCGATAGAAAGAGGGCGGAGCAGAGTCAGAGAGAGAGAATAGGTGAAAATGCAGGATCAGAGAGCGATAGAAAGAGAGAGGAACCGGGTCAGAGAGAGAGAGAAGGTGAAAATGCAGGATCAGAGAGAGATAGAAAGAGAGAGGAGCAAGTTCAGAGAGAGAGAGAGAGAAAATGTGAAAATGCAGGATCAGAGAGAGATAGAAAGAGAGAGGAGCATGGTCAGAGAGAGAGAGAGAGAGAGAGAGAAGGTGAAATGCATGATCAGAGAGCGATAGAAAGAGAGCGGAGCTGGTTCAGAGAGAGAAGGTGAAAATGCAGGGTCAGAGAGCGATAGAAAGAGAGAGGAGCTGGGTCAGAGAAAGAGAGAAGGTGAAAATGCAGGATCAGAGAGAGATAGAAAGAGGCCGGAGCATGGTCAGAGAGAGAGATAGTAGAGAGAGAAGTGGGATCAGAGAAAAAGAGAGAGAAGCAAGATCTGAGAGAGAAAGAGAGAGAAGCAGGATCAGAGAGAAAGAGAGAGGACTGAGAATGAACTGAGGTAGAGATGAAGGCACATGCAGAGCTAAAGCGAAAAGAAGAGACGTGGAAATGCAAGAACAGTGTTATGAGACTGATGTAAAAAGGAGAGGTAGATAGGCAGAAAAAGAATGGTGAGAAGATAGAAGTAGAGAAGAGAGAGAAATGCATAGCAGGGAGGAAAAAGTAAGAAGTAGAGGGGAGAGAAAAGAAAGGAAAGAAAATGCATAGAGTAGAGGAGAAAGAAAAGAAAGAAAGTAGAGGAAAGAGAAAATGTGTAGAGGGAAGGGAAAAGAAAGAAGCAGAGGGATGAGAAAAAAAGGAAAGAGAAAAATGCATAGTGGGTGGTTGAAGAAAGAAGTAGAGAGGAAGGAAATGTGTAGACAGGAGGTGAAATGAATTAGGAGTGCGGAAAGCAAACAAGCTGAGAGAGGGAAAAAATAAATAGAAGGAAACGTAAGAATGTAGTAGAGGGGAGGGTAAAGAGTGAAGTAGAGAGAAGGGAAAAGAAAGAAAAAGAGCAGTGAGACAAGTAGAATGAGGAAAAAAACACGTATAGGGGAGGAATACTGGAAAGTAGAAGACAAATCATTCATTAGAGGAGAAAGAAAAGAGCAAAGTAGAGAGACAATAAAGATGGCTGACAAGAGGCAAGATTAATGCAAAGAAGTAACGTACTTATGTTGAGAGAAGAATACAGACTGAGGTAGAGACAAGGTCATATTGAAATAGAGATCAGGAGAGAGGCAAATTAGAAGAAACAGACTGAGGTAAAAATGTAGTAATAGAGTGAAAGAGCGTAAAGAGAACAAACTGAGGTCAGCATTTGGCAGATGGGAACTGATGGGCATGTATGATCTGCTATGTATTTAGAGATTATTGATAAAATATGCAAAAGAATCTACAATTCATTCGGTCCTAACCTAACATCTCGGCTTCAATCCCTCCCCCACCATCATGATGTCTTCTTTCTATCTTTTCTACAAATGTTATCTTGGCTATTGTTCTAATGAACTTTCCTCCTTGGAATCTCAACCACATGAATTTAAATGTACTACAAGGGTACATAACAAATTATCTGCATTTTCACAATAACATATCTTTAGGTTTAGTACACTGCCTTCTACTGATGTGTGCTTATAGTTGCTATTATTGTGGTCATATGATCAAAGTTTGAGCCTGATTGTGCCAGTTTTATTGCTGCTGTTACAGTGTAAATATAGCTGCACCACTAGCAGTGTGCACCAAAGAGGAACAAAGAGCTGTGATATAAATCTGTAAAGAATATTCTACCTGACTGATGATAACTTTGCTGGTTCATCATTACAATCTCTCAGAGTTGGTGAATCTTCTAATCATTGGTGGAGGTTGATGGACGTCCTTGTTCCTTCTTTGTGCCTCATGTTTATCTGGCCAATTTTAACATTCTTGATCCATTCATACACACTTCTACACAGTAGTGTATTGTTGCTGTATTGTGTTAAAAGCCTCTGATGAATTTCAGCCACCTTCCAACCAAAGAAATCGGATCACTACTCTTTGTTATCTCTTGGTGCCCACTGTCAGTGGAGTGGCCATGTTTACACTGTAACAGCTGCAAGAAAACTGGTGCAATCAAGCGCAAATTTTGATAGCACCTAACTATAAGTACTCATGAGCAGAAGGCAGTGTGACAAATCTAAAGATATGTTATAGAAAAAGTGGGGATAATTTTTTACTTACTCTTACAGCTGATTGGCAACTGTGTTTCAGTATTTTACTGTTGACATAGATGTAAACATATAGATAAAATAACAGTACAAACTGGGTTCTATGGGGCAACCAGTCTAGGAGAAGGAAACTCTGAATTCAAACCACCTGCTGCCTTGTATTTCTTGCTTCTTTAGGCAAAAGCTAGAAAAAGATAACTTAAAATACAAATCCACCTCCGAGAAGAGGAATGGGGTAATCTCAACATGCCTAGTTCAAAAGGAACTGGCAAGCCATTGCACCATTCAGCCTTGCAATTGTGAGATGGAGGGGAGTGGTAACCACAGTGGTAGGAAAGGCACTAACTGAATAAAATGAATGAATGAACCATAAGTTCTATTCTAATAGTTTCTTTTTTCCCACTTCTTGAGTGTGGGATACTCTTTGGTTTCTTTCTTCTATGCCAACTTACATCATTGTTGGTTTAAATTAATGATAAATAAAAGGCACCATCATTTGCACTAAAGATTGAAGGGGCTGAAACTTCTCAAATTGAACCCCCTTTTATTTACTTTCTGATTGTATCCTTATCTTTATTGTTATTATCCCAACATATTGGCTGCTGCGTCCCAGCAATTTTCAGATGAGACATTCAAAGTAGACCAAGAACAATCTACTGCATAGATTAACCTAAAATCTGTTTCAGCTTTAGAGAACCCACAGAGGGTTGATATGCTGCAAATCAATCCTATAGATTAAATTAAGAAATTCTCTGAAGGTTTCTAGATCAACAGTCACGTGAAGAAAGTTGGAGGGCACAACTGCAGAAATTTAATAAAAAATAAAGATAAGGATACTTGTCTGAATGTAAATTATGTAAATAATAATAATTTGTCATTCAGAAGCTCAGAATAAAATTCCGGCAACCATGGTAATAGGAGACTATAATAGATCAGTAATAAAAATGTATGTATCAAATATGAGGGGGTTCATAAAAAGTTTTGCTTTGATCTATTTCTCAAAATCAGTATTTCAATGAGCAAACATCAGAATTCTGATTTTGTAAAGTGGAGCAGACCAAGAACTTTTCATTACTCTGTACTGTATGTGTACAATGGACTCATCTGTTGACTTTGAAATATGGAGGCCTAACAGTTTATTTGCTCAAGGTTAGAAAAAAATGATTTTTTCGAAGAATGAGCAAGGGATTTGAAATGTTCTATAATTGAAAGCAGATACCTGAGGGAACTCAAAAAAAAAAAAAAAAAAAAAAACTGAGCTTAAAATCTTGTGTAGAAAACAGGGTATGCTTCAATAATGTTGACAAATATTTGAGGGCAGGAAATTCTTAATTGTTACAGTACACCAAATATAGGAAATTCTACAAAAACAAAATATGTCCAAATTTTGAGCAGTGACATCTTTTATACAACACAATAGATAAATAAACCATTATTTTCCCCCTGAAATATACATTAATATATTCTTTTTAACATCTATTCAACTATCAAAATCTTCGACTCCATCATCCTCCACCTTCAGCACAAGAGTTGCTGAAAACCATCAGAATTGGTCGATTTTTTTTTTCCAACAGAACTTAACATATTCAAGATCCATATGATCTTTTTTTACAAAAAAAAAATATGTACATATAGGGTTTTAAAATATGTAAAAATTATGCACTTTTCTGGTGTAGAACCATTAAGAATAGGTTTGTCAGAATCTGTCAAAATCAAAAAAACTCAATTGCAAATATGTCAGATAAACTGCTTTTTTTTCTAATTTTCACAACAAATAATGAAGAGAACACATCTAGAAGAAGAAGAAGAAAATTATTATTATTATTATTATTATTATTATTATTATTATTCAGGACGTGTGTGGTCATAGCTCTCCACAATCTCTAATACTTTATAACTTTCATTAATGTTTATCTTTTTACTATCCCTCATACACCCTGTTCTGCCAACTATTTAAGCAAGCTTGTTAGGTAGGTTACATGCAGTTTCCTTTTGCATTCTTGCCTTCAGTATGGCCTTCCATTTTTAAATTCTCCAAGCCCTCTTTTCTTATTATGCATCCCAGATATTTCAATTCTCCCTTTCTGAGTTTAAGTATTTTATTGTTTCCATTTTTCCTTAAAGCTTTTTTATTGCTCACATACTCTATCCATCAGATTCTCCGAATACTTTACAACCGCACCTATGTTGCCTCAAGTCTCCTCTTTATCACTAAGGAAATTTTCCAACATTCACAGCCATATAGGAGGACCGATGTCCTCATCTTTGTGTTGTTATCATGATGTTTCAGCCATTGTCTTGTAGCCTTCATCAGGTTCCTGCCAATCTGAATAACCTACAGGAGAATCGTCTAGTAGATTAAATCAGTGGTTTATGAATTTGGTGACATAGTAATTTGTGTTCAGTTCCTGGGTCGGGTAATGTGCACCTGGGCTCAATGAAAACAAGGCAATTAATAACTGAGCAGTACTAAATAGGAACTGAACAAGATATCCCTAGACATTGTTAGTGGAATAGAACCAATTTACCCACTTTCTCTCAGGATAGAGGCGATCATGGCTCTCCACAACATTCTGTCCTTTATAGCTCTTAATAAATTTTATCTTTTTATTATTTCTCATAAACCCTGTTCCAACATCCATTTACTCATGCTCGCTAAGTATATTATACATTGTTTTCTTGTCTCTCTTTCTTTCAATCTGTCCTGTGAGTAATACAATATTCTTTGAGGAGATTGTCCAGCATCCAACACCATACAGAAGGATAGATATCACATAACTTTAGTTTAGTACTCTTTTCCTTGTTTCTAGTGAAGTTTTTTTTTTTATTTCTTAGTACTCTGCTTAGCTTTTGAAATGTATCTTTGGCTATTCCAATACACCATATTAAATAAAAGGTTCAGTTCAAAAGTCCTTCTCTATATTATCTAGACTGATAGGCACCTGATGAAGGCTGGAGAGCACAATGTATGAAACAAGAGAATGAGAACAATGATAAAGACAATAGTGTTCAAATTTTCCTTCTCCTAGACTGGCTACCACCCAAGGCAAGAGAGCATCGTGGAGAAGACATTCCAGTATTGCTTCACCATTGCTGCAAAACACAAGCTGAATGAAAATTCCCCTAGTACTGATCTGTGGTCTCTCATGACCGACAGATGGCACACGCTCAAATATGTAGAATATAATAGTACTTTGCCACTTCTATTGCAAAATAGGATTAAAAATACTGGAAACCCTTTACATCAAAAGTTGGCAACAACATAAAAGGTATTTTGTGACTTTCCAGAAAAATGACCAATTATGCACTGGCTAAAAGTATATGGCACATAATTTTGCCAAGGTTTTATTCAAATTTACAGGCTTAACAGAAATTCACTATTTAATCTTTTTAATAGAACATATATAAACAAAGCCTAAATATGCTAGATTTAATAGTTATAGTATGCATCTGTTTATCTTGCAAGATAATAATAGTGCCCAGTTTCGTCAAAATTCAGTCCTTTGATGGTGAGACTGAAATGACCTCTTCAGGGCACAGGGCTTTGGTAATAGCATATGAATATCATACATATGGCCCTTACTCATGGAGATCTAAAGAAATATAGGGCATTACAATTGTGGCTGGTTTTGCTGCAGGAGTTGCTGGCAGTTTGTCAGTGTTTACAGACAACCATTATCAGGGCTAAACCCCAGATTTTCTGTCTGGATTTACTTCCATAGCCTTTTCCATGTTTCAATATTACCACAAGGCAGTGGAGGTTCAAATGAAGGATTTTCCTTCTCCTGCATGTACTGCAGCTGGTTTTATGGCACCAGTGGTCTGCCTTTTCTCATTCTCCAGGTTAGAGCTTAACTTAGGTGTCAGAGGCTATTCCAGATACATGCCATGAGAGCTTTTTGTATATAATAGGATGTTGTCCTTACTACCAACCTTTAACCTTTGGAACATAGATCATGTATAGATATATAAACATTGTGTTTTAGAAGCTTCCTGTTGTATCCTTAAAGAGGTTACAAACAGCCAAAGGTGATACTCAAGTGAAGGAACAGCAACACACATGTAGATGAAAGAAGAGAGGTTTATTGTACAAGAGAATACACTACTGAAAGACAGG